AGTGAGGTAAGTGTGCCAAATAGGCATGAGATGATATATATATATATATATATATATATATAGTGATGCAGCCAATATACGTACTATAGGATTGTCCATTTGTTCATACGTGTATATCTGTTCGTATGACAGTGTGTATTGCCTATATCTATCTCGATGTGCTGTGTGCAATCTACTGTATTTGTGTGCCATTTCTGCAGCGCTGTATCTCCTTGACTCATTCAATACAACACTCCTTCAATCTCACTCCAATACTCACATCCCGCTTTTAACATCACACTTTAACATCCCGCTTTAACATCACACTTTAACATCCCGCTTTGACATCACACTTTAACATATCCCGCTTTAACATCATACTTTAACATCCCGCTTTTAACATCACGCTTTAATATCCCGCTTTAACATCACACTTTAACATCCCGCTTTAACATCCCGCTTTAACATCACACTTTAACATCCCGCTTTACCATCACACTTTAGCATCCCGCTTTAACATCACACTTTGACATCCCGCTTTAACATCACACTTTGACATCCCGCTTTAACATCACACTTTAACATCCCGCTTTAACATCACACTTTCTTTAACATCCCGCTTTTAACATCACACTTTAACATCCCGCTTTAACATCCCACTTTAACATCCCACTTTAACATCCTGCTTTAACATCACACTTTAGCATCCCGCTTTTAACATCCCGGTATTATCCAGAATATGCTGTGCCCCATCTGCCTGTCCCCCCCGTCTCCCGCCAAGACCACGCCGTGTGGCCATGTGTACTGCTACGGCTGTGTGTTGCATTACCTACACATGAGCGCAGGTGCCTGGAGTGAATGCCCTATCTGTCACGAACCCATCTGTGCGGCTGAGCTGAGGTCCATGACTCCGGTGGAGCATCCGTCGGTAGAGGTCCACACACCCATCGACATGCGCCTGCTGGTCAAGCAAGGACGCTCATGCATCTATCCCACACCCGTGGATGTTGCTGTTACCACTGTATGTATTGTGGATGTTGCTGCTACCACTGTGTGTACGAGTGCACATGCAACGGTGTAGTCTAATGATCTAAGCTGGGTGCTTGGTAGTAAAAATCTCAACGGAATCGTTTGGCTTGTGCCTTTGGCTGTCAGTGAAACAATTGATTCATGGATATATATATATTGTGTTACGTTTTGCCGGTCACGTCCTTCCAATGGACGTTGCGGCCATTTGTTGAGATGACTGCGATCTGTGTGCTTCTTGTACTTACCCTTGCCGTTAAACGTAAATGCCGTACGTGACTGATAGAGACTACCAACTGTTGGCCATGAATGTGTGTGTTGTGTATTGTTTTTGTGTTTGTGCTTGGGCTATGTGTTCTTCATTCTCTCTGCTCAAGCCAACATCGTACAGCAAGTCTGTCTGTGATATATATACTCATAATAGGTCTGCCTGTGATACATATACTCATAGTAGGTCTGCCTGTGATATATATACTCATAGTAAGTCTGTCTGTGATATATATACTCATAAGTGATACAGGTACTCATAGTAGGTCTGCCTGTGATATATATACTCATAGTACGTCTGTCTGTGATATATATTCTCATAGTAGGTCTGCGTGTGACATATATTCTCACAGTAAGTCTGCCTGTGATATATATACTCATAGTAGGTCTGTCTGTGATATATATACTCATAGTAGGTCTGCCTGTGATGTATATTCTCATAGTATGTCTGCCTATGATACATATAATCATAGTAGGTCTGCCTGTGATATATATACCCATAGTAGTAGTAGGTCTGCCTGTGATATATATATACCCATAGTAGTAGTAGGTCTGCCTGTGATATATATACCCATAGTAGGTCTGCCTGTGATATATATATTCATAATAGGTCTGCCTGTGATATGTATACCCATAGTAGGTCTACCTGTGATATATATTCTCATAGTAAGTCTGCCTGTGATATGTATTCTCATAGTAGGTCTGCCTGTGATATACATACTCATTGTAGGTCTGCCTGTGATATATCCACTCATAGTAGGTCTGCCTGTGATACATATACTCATAGTAGGTCTGCCTGTGATATATATACCCATAGTAGGTCTGTCTGTGATATATATTCTCATAGTAGGTCTGCCTGTGATATATATACTCATCGTAGGTCTGCCTGTGATATATATACCCATATTAGGTCTGCCTGTGATATATATACCACGTACGCCTATGGAGGTGTCCTATCATAGCTCGAACAACAACTGTCAAAGCCCCTCTGACGTTGTGCAACCATTGACCTGTCAGCTGTCGCCACAGCATGCATCTAAACCCTGAACCCTAAAACGCATACGACCATTCACACCTGCGAGTAGCGTACAGCCACACGCTACGTACAGCAGGAGACACGTGGTTAGTCAGAAGGACAATGCAGAGTGTGTGGTGATACTAAGTACTCCCTTCCCTTCATCTACCTACCACCCAGTCAGGGGGTGGGGTGCGCGAGGTGCTCTCCATCGGCAGAGACAGTGATCCTGAGGCGCGTAAGTACACCAATCTGCTGCAGACATCGGCCGTTGAGGTACAGCGCAACATCGTCACGCGCGAACGCAGCGAATTGGAGCTCAAACTGAATGACAGCCTCAGCTGTGGGGAAACCGAAGAGGTCTTGTATCTGCAGGTAAGATGTGCTGTGTAGGGAAGATGTGCTGTGTAAGTAGAAGTACTATATAGGCAGATGTACTATATAGGCAGATGTACTATATAGGCAGATGTGCTGTGTAGGCAGATGTGCTGTGTAGGTAGATGTGCTGTGTAGGTAGCTGTGCTGTGTAGGCAGATGTGCTGTGTAGGCAGATGTGCTGTGTAGGTAGACGTTCTGTGCTTGATGTGCACGCGTGTTTGCATAGCAATCAGTGTTGCTGGTGCAAGATAAAGGTGTTTCTGGTTCAATTGTTAGTAGCGTTTGTGTGGACGTTTGGTATTTAACAAATTACGTAATATCATGAGCACACTTTTACCAGACCGGCTCGACTATCCTTAAACGTAGTCTTACGTAGATTCACATATACTAATTATGCTTCAATTACTTTATATCGTATCCTTCAATCACTAGGTATATATACCCATTGCACGCGAGTACCATATTACACTACGTACTCATAACCTAATTGACAGGAATAGCTCGAGCGTATCACGTACTCACACAACGCATGACACAAACAGATTGCGCTCGAGAAACTGCGCCAACGAAGTGTTGCGCTGCATGAAGCTCACGTGGCAACTACTGAGACACACGACCACGACAAGGCCGACCAACCACAGCACACGCAGCACTTGCCACCCCCAAAGCAGGTAGGGCTATTAGGCATATATAAATAGACATATGTGTACTGCACTGTGTACTGTAAGTGTGGTTATGTATGTATGTATGTATGTATGTATGTATGCATGTATGTATGTATGTGTATGTATATGTATGTATATATATATAGTATATACATATATATATATATACATATATACATATATATATGTGTGTGTGTGTATATATATATATATGTGTGTGTGTGTGGATGGGTAGGTGGTGGGTAGTCTTGAATATGCGCGTGTGCATGTGTTTCTATTCAGGATGCTGCGCTTTGCCCAGTAATCTGTATATGTGCACGTGTATATACCTACATATATATATATCAATTGGCGGCAATCAAAAATGTACCTAATCTGGCTCAACGCTCACACATCACATCATAATTATTATTTACTTATTTCTAGCTGTATTCGTAGAGGTGGCAGGAATTAAACTAAAAATTAACATATCACATCCCATCACATTACTACGTCTTCGCATAGGGTCGGGATGAGCTTGAGCGTGAGAGAGACTCAGAACCCACCTTTCTGTACCAGGCCACCGACGGTCGCAGGATATACATGCACTCCATCAACGTACGGTGTCTGGTGAAGCAGTTTGGTTCGCTGAGTGCGTCCCCACCCGGTCTTACCGGCAAGATACTGGACTTAGCCCAGGTATATATACACATCCTTCGTGTGGGTGGTATATTTGTGTGTACATGGGTGTGTGAGTGGTATGTGGGTGTGCACATGGGTGTGTGGGTGGTATGTCTGTGTGTGCATCGGTGTGTGAGTGGTATGTCTGTGTGTACATGGGTGTGTGGGTGGTATGTGAGTGTGTGTGTGGTATGTGTGTGTTTTCATGGGTGTGTGGGGGGTATGTGTGTGTGTACATGGGTGTGTGGGTGGTATGTCTGTGTGTGCATGGGTGTTTGTGTGGTATGTCTGTGTGTACATGGGTGTGTGACTGGTGTGTCTGTGTGTACATGGGTGTGTGACTGGTGTGTCTGTGTGTACATGGGTGTGTGACTGGTGTGTCTGTGTGTACATGGGTGTGTGACTGGTGTGTCTGTGTGTGTGGGTGGTATGTCTATGTGTACATGGGTGTGTGAGTGGTATGTCTATGTGTACGTGGGTGTGTGGGTGGTATGTCTATGTGTACATGGGTGTGTGAGTAGTATGTCTATTTGTACATGGGTGTTTGTTTGGAGCATAGCCACCAACGATCTAGTGAGGATGAGTCATGGCTGTCGTCTGAGGTATGTTTCACGTCCAAACGGTTAACACACGTGCCTAGTCATTTATGAGTGTGCCATCGCCCAGTCGGTTGGGCAAGATGCAGGGTTGGGCTCAGGTAAACGTAGTTTACGTTTACGTATATAATGCACGCCTGTGCGGGTGTATATGAGAATCAGCGTTTAGTATCTGGTAGGTGTGTACGCTACAAATAATCGTACTATGTACTTACGCTCGCCTGATAATGTAAGTACGTTTATTAGTACGTACTGACACCATTTGTTAGTACATTTATTAGTACGTACTTACACCATTAGTAAGTACATTTATTAATAAGTACTCACACCATTAGTAAATACATTTATTAGTACGTATTTACACCATAAGCTGTTACATTTTTTAGTATGTACTTACACCATTAGTAAGTACATTTTTTAATAAGTACTCACACCATTAATATATACATTTATTAGTACGTACGTACACCATTAGTAAGTACTTTTATTAATAAGTACTCACACCATTAGTAAATACATATATTAGTACGTACTTACACCATTTGTACGTACCTACACCATTAGTAGGTACATTTGTTAAAAAGTACCTGTATCATTGGTAAGTACTTGATCCGGTCCTGAGTGCATTGCTACCGGACTTTCCAGGAAGGATTGTATCGTCTGTTGTATAGCACTCGGCTTGTCGCTCCTGTCGATAGCCCTCCTGTGTCTTTCGTTTAGGACAACGCATAGGAGGTCCATTCAACACAAATCTCCCCTTTCCAATAAAGTAGGAGTCTTATGTTATTTTAATATATATATATCAGCTATCCAATCTCATGTAGTGTTAGTGTGTTAGTCCACTCTATATCACATTCCAAACCCCGTGTTCCATCCACAGGGGACTGTCACCCACGAGACGCGTAAGAAGTTGAGGTACCTTTCTCATCTGCCGTTGTCGTCTCAATTCCTCATTGCTGAGCTGGATCTTGATCATCTCTTGGTATGTGTTGTGTTGTGTTGGAGGAGGGTCATCGGTCGTATTTAACACAAAGCTCCCTTTTCCAGCGTCATTGATATATACATATACATACATACATGCATACATACATACATACATAGGTATGAGGGGAGAGGTTATAATTTATATATACAATTTATTTGCCCTGCCTTTGTTGTGCGCTCGCAATACAATCGCACATATCTCATTGGCATTGCTAGTGGGTGTACTTCTACACGTTAACGTTACCTGGGCGTTCACTCTCGTTCCGTAGTATCAGAATGTATTGCCGGTGTTTTATAGTGTACGGCGTTAATTTAGTTAACGGGATCGTCACACTACCTTTTGGTGCAGTCGGATGAAGTGATCGCCGAGTTTCATGACGAAACACAGAAGTTGAAACAAAACAGAGAGCGCAAAGCACAGCGTATCAAACAGGAGGAAACACGCATCATCAGGGAAGAGGTATAACAATGTGCACGCCATTGACGCATATGCATATGTATGTATACATGTATATATATGTATGTTTTATTATGTATATATATATATATATACATATATATGTGTGTGTGTGTGTCTGTCTGTCTCTGTCCCTGTCCCAGTCCCTGTCTGTGTGTGTGTGTGTGTTTTTGTTTTGTTCTGTTTTAGGAGGACGGTTGTGTGTGTTTCTGTGAGTATTGATCGCACAGTTGAGTACATGACACATATTTGTGAGGGTTGCGTTTGTTCACATCATCTGAGTTTATACTCAAGTTTCTGAAATGGCATATTTCGATGTATGTATATATATATATTGCTTATAGGTATACTTGTGCTGATCACAGTATGTGTCCATATAGTATAGTATCTTTCTTACGTGTTGTGTTCATTTATGTACATATTGCTGATAGGTATATCGCATATACCAAGGCATCCGTTCGTGTTATTCGATATGCCTGCATATGTCAAAATCCATTTGTACGTATCTGCGTGCATACATGTATTTGCTGGTGATGTACATTTACCATCTCAACACTTAAGCGCTCAGGACTATTCGTCGTACTAGACACCGGCCGTCCACGAACGCTGATGGATGCTGTAACATGATACTGCTTCGTGCTAGTGATGGGTTGGAAAATTGGCGCACATATGAAGCTCTCGATCACGTTCAAGATTGTTGTCTTATACGCCTACTTATCCTATTTGAAGGAAATGTATATACATAACTTTGCGACATGTTTAGATGTATTCTTTCTCAATTTATATATATCTAAGTCTATCCATATCCATCCCGGGAGTACGAGTACATGACCATCACCTATATGTGTTAACTATTTATCTCAGCTTATATATTTATATGTTAACTATTCATCTCAGCTTATATATTTATATGTTAACTATTCATCTCAGCTTATATATTTATATGTTAACTATTCATCTCAGCTTATATATTTATATGTTAACTATTCATCTCAGCTGATATATTTATATATATACTGCTCTATCTGCCCCGTTTCAGGAAGCACTGGCACTCAGCAAAGCGTTTAAGCACGATGTGAACGATGAGAACGCGTTTCCTTTGGCGCTGAGTGATAATCTGATAAGGGGCTCTACCAGTGCAGATCTGGATATACCCTCCAACGGACACCTGAACCGCACACCCACACCCACGCACGACGCGTTTCCCAGTAAGTACCAGCACCTATCTTACGCACACATGTATAGATAGTACTTCTGTATGGTTCCGTGTGTGTCCGGTCTCTATACTGGGCGGTAGTCTGGTGGTGGGTAGGCTCAATGCAGACCTGGACATACTCTCTAATGGCTACCTCTACCGCACACCCACACTCACCCACGATACTTTTGCCAGTCGTTTCAGCACGTGCCAGATGTGATGTGTCCTCACAGTTTTTGCCATGTATTTCATATGTGCTATATGCCCATAGGTTGAGGCATGCATTTCGTTTGATATATGTGTATGAGGATTAGTTCTTGGCATGCATCTGATGCTTCTGCTGACCATCTTGTCTAGAATTCTTGTATCTTGTTGTATGTTAAATGTTGTTTGTATGTATACATATAATATATATATATGTGTGTGTGTGTGCGTGTGCGTGTGTGTGTGTATGTATATGTGTATGTATATGTATAAGTATGCATATGTGTATATATATATATATATATATATATACGTATATACATATATTCATATTCATATCTATCTATTCTGAAACCACACCCCTCCTGTACACAGGTATGTCCCCAGAAGATGCGGTGTTTATGGCTGTGTTGGAAGAGTCCAAACGCACGGCCGCAAACGAACTCTCCTTCTCCTTCGCTGGTGCTACGAGGAATACCAATGCGCATAGACTGCTACCGGTGAGTGTGACACGTCTATTCGATCTAGCAAGTACATGCACATAGGCTGCTACCAGTGAGTGTGAAATGTTGTGATATGTCTATTCGATCTAGTAAGTATATCCACAGAGAGTGTACTCTCAATTCCGTAGTGTAGCATTTCTGGAAAGGATAGAAATTCCTTAGCTTGAAAAAAAACAAGCAAAAGAACATCTCATCGTGTTTCAAGTACGTTAATCGTGTTGACATTCACTCAGTCTTTCTCGCATGTGTTGCATATCATATTAGCTTGGTAGCCTTTCTCGCATGCGTTTCATATCATGTTATCTCGGTAGTCTTCCCCACCCAATGGGTATCCTTAAGCCTGACCCCACCCACCGGGTATCCTTAAGCCTGACCCCACCCACCGGGTATTCTTAAGCCTGACCCCACCCACCGGGTATCCTTCAGCCTGACCCTACCTCGTATGTATTGTTCTCCAGAGCGCCGGTAAGAACAAGGCTGCATCGGACGATTTTGATTGGCCCACAATTGGCTCACCCGCGACAAGCACCGCTCTTCTGTTCACCCAAACGTCGAGCACAAGCTCAACCAAAGAAGTATCACCCCCTTCAGACACAAGGCGTAAAACGTTTTTCTCGCCACCGCCTGTCTCGGTACCCAAAGTGTGTGTTTTTTTATCGTAGATAGTTCGTTTGCGTTTGTATGTTGAATGACGCTGAAGGTGAGTGTACGAGTATTCGTGTCATATATATATATATGTGTGTGTGTGTGTGTGTGTGTGTGTATATACATAGTATAGTTTGGCTTTGAGAGTTACAGAGTGTGCAGTTGACTCGCCTTCTGTCGTTTACGCCTATGCATGCCAGGGAGTTGTAATGTTTCGTCCGATGTTTCAATAGTGCTGAGTTCAGCTGTACTCGTTGCGGTTGGGTCGTACGGTCATACACGCGTTCAGTACACTTTTAGTGGACAACCCTGTGTTCAACGCATTTGGTACTGTGTAGCTATCTTCTCTGTATCTTTTGTGCCTTTGATTTGCACATGTCTTTGTTGCGCACACTCTCCTCCCGCACTCGTGTGTTTTTCGCTGTGGCTTCACTATTAAAGTCCACTTGTGCTCTATTATCGTTCACCAAGTGTACGTTTTATTCGAGTTTCGCCATGCTTTGGGTTTTGTTATATGAACACTATATGTATTGATATGAATTTGTTGATACTTTCATACTACCAGGCTCCGCCAATGGAACCACTACAAACGGCATCAGTCAACTCAGAATGGGCTCCAGATTTCCAAACGTCGTTCCAAGACTCGCTGAATAAAGCCTTCGTAGACCTGTATGTTGTCCTTGTGCATGATCATGTGTAATTATCTGTAACTTCCATTTGGTGTATCTGTCTAGGGTGGGCTGGATATGTTCTTCCTGTGTATGATCATTTGTAGTGATTAGTATCTTTCATTGGGTGTATCTTTTAGGGTGGGCTGGATATGTTGTCCTTGTGCATGATCATGTGTAATTATCTGTAACTTCCATTTGGTGTATCTGTCTACGGTGGGCTGGATATGTTGTTGCTGTACATGATCATTTGTAGTGATTAGTATCTTTCATTGGGTGTATCTGTCTATTGTGAGCTGGATATGTAGTTCATGTGCATGATCATTTGTAGTTATTAGTATCTTTCATTGGGTGTATTAGTCTAGTGTGGGCTGGATACGTTATTTCTGTCCATGATCATTTGTAGTTATTAGTATCTTTTATTGGGTGTATTAGTCTAGTGTGGGCTGGATACGTTATTTCTGTCCATGATCATGTGTAATCATCAGTATCTTTCATTGGGTGTATTAGTCTAGTGTGGGCTGGATATGTTGTTTCTGTCCATGATCATGTGTGATTATCAATCTCTTTCATTAGGTGTATCAGTCGGGGGTGACCTGGATGGAACTAGCAGTGCATCCGCCGAGTTAAACTTATAGTCTTCGCACAGCGTATTTTTGGGTGCGTCTGGTAGATGTTCGCCAAGCCGTATTAGTCTGACGCTTTTAGCGTGATTCAATCACATACAAGCACAGGCAGTATGGATAAGGTACAAATACACCCGACGATATGCGTGTTCCAAAGGCTTGTTTTATCTAACAGATATATGTTCTACTTTAATAACATTCAGTGACACGATACAAGTACCAGCGGACCAGGCTCACCAGGGTAAGAAGAAGAAAGGAGGGAAACGCAGCAAACAGGTTCTGTTCAGCACCACCAGCCAACGCAGGTCTTGAGATGTTATAAGACGTGTTCCCGCCGATCTTCAATCTACACGTACACATATTAGTCACAATCGAATATAGCGATCATGCCCAGCGTTTCTGAACCTGCCGCACCGGATGCAAAAACTTAGGCATCCAATCATATAGTAATCAAATTAGTTTAGTGGCTTATACAGCCCTCAGTATTAAAGAATTACAATCCACTCGCAATTACTTTAAAACCTTATCGCGATACACCCTAGGTTGTTTAATGAAATAGAAACAGCAGGTGTATGAAAGAACTTCAAAACGACTTCAAATTTGGCCATACTCGTGCTTTGGATTAATCGAATTGTAGCTCGATTAAAGTTTTCGCTGACTACACAAAACACCTATGCGAGCATAAATCTTGATATATGAGACCACAATATCTACGTTTGTGAGTTCATGTTCATGATCGCTTATTATGCATTCAGTCTCCGTCCATACATCCATATCGAGATCATTCTATATCCATGTACTTTTTTTTTGCTACTTTAAAAACGCTAGGCGTCAGAAGTCAGAATATGTCAAACAAAGTTTTTCGTCGAACTCTTCACGTTTCCTTATGAAAGCCAAATCAATTGTCTGGACGAGACCCTCTTCTAATTTGCGTCACGCGATCGTTCATCCTTCTCTGGGATTTACCTTCGTATTCCTTTCTTAATGCGCCTTCAACCCTCCGCTTTTGTCGTGCTGTTAACTTTTTCTTTCCTCAGCTTCTTTGGCACCTCTATTTTTGGTGTTCTTCCAAGGTTTCATTTGCTCTGTTTTCGTGTGGCGCTTGTTATCTGTGTTGTTTTTTCAACTGCTTTGTCTTTTTTGATCGGTGTGGAACATCTCTCCTTGCCCCTTCTTGTTGTGTTGTCTACCCAGCACGTAGTTCTAAGAAACATTCCTCGTCACGTGTTCATAAACTTACATTTCCTTGATCTCCATGTGCCGTCAATAACTCTTCTCGTTTCGCTTTTTCTAAATAACCCGTTGTTCCGATAATTCATCGCTGACTTCTGCTTCTAGCCTTGTTTTTCTTGTATAAGGCCTTTTTCGGCGCCTATTCTTGTACTTTCTTCAATTTTGATTTTCCTCAAAGCACAGCTTCTTCATACTCGTTTGTTTACGACAAACCTTGGACTTTGTTCTCCGCTACCCTCAGCTGTACTTTACAGTCACGTGGGAAAAAGATAAAGGGTTTCACTATTTTCACGGGGAAAGACGAGGGTTTAAAATAAAGCTGTAGTCACGGGGTAACAACAAAGGGATTGGGGGTAATATGATAGTCGAACGGAAAAGACAAGGATTTGGGGTACTACTGTAGACGCAGAACAAAAGTACAGCCTTACACCCCAGTACATCCTTACACGCCCATGTTTCTCAACAGACTTAAAGTTCAACAACAATTTATCAGCAGTATAATCGATATCGGTACATAGCAGAGTTGCTTTTAATCCTTTCTTGTCGAGTTTTCATTTATTTTTCCTCGTACAAAAGATTATAGAAAACCGAGATCTTTATATACATATGGTTTTAGAAACTATTGACTTCTATATCGCTATCAAAAAAAAGTCTTGTAAATCGTTGCTCAGATTTGAATCAAAACCGGCCTAAGACCGTTCTTCATTTTCACTCTTCCCAGTCACCCTAGCCTCATCCAAAAGAACTGCGATTGCGTTCGGACTACCCTCACTCCTTGGGACCATGACTACACTCGCGCTACCCTTAACAGTCAAAACTGAGACTACACAATATATTTCTCCCACGCACTAGCACCGGGTGTCCATCTGCACTACACTTGTCCTTTGGAACCAGAGCTGCAGGTATGCTATCATCATCCGTTGGAACTGAGACTACAGGTATACCACCTTTCCGTCACCAGTTTGACAGGACGGCAGATGTCCTATTCTCGTCCATTAGAATTGGGACTACAGGTGTGTCACCCTCACCCAAAAGAACAACGACTCCCCACTACTCTCACTCAATCAAACTGCGACTACTGCGATTACATGGAAACTACCTTCACTAATTGGAACTGGGCTTTTTTATCCAAACCAAAATAAGGAAGCCCACAGACAGAAAAAGTCGTCTGCGTATAAAGCCCCACATAAGCAAAAGTAGAGCAATAGCAGACCTGCAAGATACCCCTGTAGAACTACTGGGTATGGAATTCTAAATCTCAGAAGATGTTCAACTTTATTTTAAGTGAACTGTAGCAAGTGCTCAAATAGAACAAAACATGACAACCAAAGAATCAATGCTGCCACGATTCATATAAATAAAGAGGTCGATAAAGCGATGTACCTTTCTTCTGTACAGCTGATAGGGATATTTGAACTAGAGGCTATACATGTAAACAATTAAACGTCCCTCGCCTTGTCATCGGTTGAACGTCTACTGTCCCATACGTACCACTAACGTAAACGTTTTGGTATCGTATAGTCAGCCTAGAAGAGACCGACCTTTACATCTAGGTGTTTGCTGAGTATTCTCCAGCACGGACCCGCTCAAGTAATATATATATTTAGTGACCAGGACATTCTTACCTTCATATACGTTGAATACAACGTATTCTTGATTTATTTCTCATCTGTGATGAATATTTGGAACTCGCTGGCAAGCAACTTAACTCAGTATTGCGTTTGATGATTGGGTCCAAAATATATTTGTTACATAGCCTAATGCTAGAGATGTGACGTCCGCAAGTGCCAAGGATTCGATGGACTTACCCTTTTTGCCACTCATCAACACACTGTGAATTGCCATACCGATCGCAACGCCATCGTCTGTGCTACCGGCTATAGAGATCTTGTCTGCACAAAATATATTGCTCAGCGTATTCTGAACCCTTGTCATGTGGGTAGCGTCACTTACCAACACAATCTTATTGATATTCTTTGGTGTAGCTATTGCGTCTGCTATGAAATGAATTAACAAAATAAGCGTCTCTCGTACAAGCGGCGACGTCAACACTCCATTTCACTCCGAGCAATTTTAATTGTCAGAATATCAATCCTGTGAACCTCATCAAGATTCCGCCGGAAACTGTCCAGAATAGATCACAGAGTAAGTTTGCTATCTTCGCAAGCCTCTCGCAGACAACGTATTGATCGAACATTTCGGTCAGTTTCCCGTCAAGTATCTTTCTCGCTTTCCAGGGCTATCTGGTCCGCCATACATATCAAAAAGAGTGCCGCTGGAACATCTGACGTATTGCTGTCGTATGTGACTAGGCCCTTGTTCATTGTTTGATGTTGAAGACCATTGAAGCTACCGTTTATGCTACAGATTATCAGATGTAGCGTGGTGCTCGTTTATGCAATTGTGTGAAAAAGAGTGCCGCTGGAACATCCCACATTAATCATATTGCTGTCGTATGTGACTAGACCCTTGTGTATTGTTTGATGTTAAAGACCATTGAAGCTACCGTTCATGCTACAGATTATCAGATGTAGCGTGGTGCTCGTTTATGCAATTCTGTGGATTTGAAATCAGATCTATATTTTTAGTTGCCAGTATTTTCCACTAATAATATCATAGTAGGCTCTGGAGTTAAAGTTATAACAAGTTTTACTATGTATCATTAATAATACATAGTTCACTTAACTTAAAAAAATTGAGTCTTATCTTTGAAATACAACAGATCTTTCTCGATAAGATACTGCACGAGGTGGTCCGCAGTATATTTTACCGACACCGCTTCATATATGTGTATAGCAGCTCCATGTCGACGCTCACTCCACTTGCCTGTGTATGAAGGTGAATCTTGGCAGCTTCTAGGAATGTATCAATTCTACAACAACGAGCACGATTGTTAACTCTTACTACCTTTCGAAGACCTTACTCGTCGATATCGCCCTCGTAGGCTAGTTTAAGGTCATTGTATATTTCGTTCTGTTTCTTGAGTCCTGTAATATCATCATTGATACATTGATACACTGTATCGACTACTTCCCTTCGCTTGTTTGCACATGCCGAGACTAGTTTCTTCATATTGCGTCTAATCTTTCGTGTGGTCTAAAAATAGTCCCAAGTTCTGAAAGTACGATGTATTGGCTAGACAGGTCTCAACTTCCGATCGGTTCAAGTCCTCTGGTAATTTGAACACCAAATACTGCGCCGGAATATTTCGCCATGATTTTTAAATTGAGCATCTTGTCGACTGATGTACACACGTTCTTGTAGCATCCGGGGCGCTGCTGCGGCATAGCAAGCGCATAATCGGTAACCCCAATAGGGGTGTACGGCGTAACATTTTAAATTGCATCGTCGATAGTTATGTATTTATGTTAAACATTTTTTCTCTTCAACAATTGATTTCAATTGATGCATGATTGTATTAGTTACTTTTCCAGTTGTTTGCCGAAATAGTATAGTAATGCACGAAAGTCTGCTTCCACTGAAGCCCACGTTTCCTTTTCGGCATTAGTCAAAAGATGCCCGATCGGAACATGTGAATTTCCTTGTTTACATGTTTAAAGGCATATAGAATCGGATCGACGCCTATCCTCGTGCTGAACTTGTTGTACTGCCCATCGATGCATTTGAGAACAAAGGACATATTCTTGACATTTAGATCCCCTGCGTAGTTGTGCCTCCCAATTACAACTTTCATAGATTGTAGATTATTAATCACAATATTATATTACTCGTTTACTCCATAGTTTACCACGCTGTGTAAAGGTGGTAGATAGACATTATCAGATTCTATCATCACATCCAGATAGCTTGCTTTCTTCTTTTGGGTTGTACTAACAACTGGAACCACCTGTTCAACTGTCTCGCAATCGTACTCAAAGCACGCAAGCTTGAATTTATGTAGAAATACATCCACGGTCATTCTTGGCGGACAGGAACGACTCTGGACTAAAATTTCCGCGCGTGTAAAATTGTTAGAAGAAATCTTATTAATAACTGAAGTTCCTGAAATCGCTGTATGCCAGGTCCGTTTCCGTATTATATGCATTGAATAAGCTCTCTACAAATATTTACTACTTTGATTCCTACTCCACGAGGTTGGTTATTTACTAGTTTCTCCTCCAACACACACACATAT